AAATGTGATCTGGTAGAGACCACCAGAGAGGAATAGAGGTGCCTAGGGAAAAACTAGAGAGGGAAAAAAAAAAAAAAAAAAAAAAAACCCACAGACCAAATAGAGAAACTCTGGAAGGCTGCGCATGAGACTTGCACCTGAGTAAGCAGGATGCTTGAATGGCCCCGTGACAGAGATCTGCCAGTTTGTTTTGAGCTGTGAGGGTAGAAGAAAGTTGCGTCCATATGAACATCACTGCTCTGGCTTGGGCCACGGGGTACCTGAGGTGGTGCCAGGGCTTGCAGAGGGCATTTGTGCCTTTCTGCCCTTCAGAGGGCAGAAAATCAGGATTTTTCTGTGCTGGAAATTTATCACCACCCTTCTGCTCCTGCAYAGCCTGCTTTCCCCAACACTGAAGGACCTGCCCCTTCCAGTGCTTCTCCTCTTTTCAGTCAGTCTTCTTCCGAGAGCACAAAACACCTTTGCTTAGGCATGATCAGCAGCAGACAGTGGGCACTTGATGCGATAGTGACAGCATCCTGATCTGAGTGTGACGATCTCCAGGGCTGACCCAGCTCGTTCAGCTTAGAGATTCCTTGCCTGAGACTTTAGCATGATCTTGCAGACAGGACCTCCCCTGTCAGCTGGTGAAAGTAGAGCCCTCTTGTACCTGGGCCCTCTTGTACCCCCCCAACTGGTCCAGKTGGGGACTGGACAGTCCCCAACATCCGCTGATTGTTCAGAGGGGTGAGGAAGAGGAGGGAAAAAGGAGATCTTTTTTTCCCTCTGCTGAGTTTCCACCAGATCACTAACTCGGGAACGGCAGCTACACTGCCTGGCAGACCGCTCTTGAAAGAGGTCTCTGAAATAGGGGATGTTAGGAAATTTCACTATGTATCTTGTGGCCATGTGCTAAGCAGGAACGTTTTTTCAAGTGACTACCCGGACAGCTCAAAGACACGATGAACTGCAAATGACCCACAGAGCCCATTGCTTCTAGGAGCTGGAGAAAGAAAAGCTTGCTGTAAAGAGCGGGGAGAGCCTTCACCAGCACCATGACTTGGTGCCACAAGAGGAACTCAGGCTTGGCTGCCATGTCCTTGAATGCAAAGCAACACTGTAAAGACTCAACTGGATGCACTTGCTTAAGCCTTACTCACCAAGGCTGAAATATGGGTAAGGGAGGCGATGCCTTTTATACTATTAGCCATAGGAAATACTACTTATCTTAAAGAAATGAATCATGTTTCAGCAAATGCTTCCTGCAGAAATATTTTTCTCACAGGCTTTGTTTGGGGTTTTGGCAGATCTCAAGTTGCTGGCGTTAGCAGAAGCAGCCTTCCCGCCCAGTGTTCCTGGGGCTTGAGTAGGAAAATAAAGAAATAAAGGCAGGGGATACGTGGAAGGCTAAATCTACCACCACTTATCCTTGTTATTGAGACAGGATATGAAGCTAGAGGGCAAATTTCAAGCACACTCCCTGGACTGAATCAAACACAGCTCTGTGCCTGGCTACTTCTGCAAATGCACTTATCTTGCCTGTACTGTCCTTGTGGCCTTGTACAAATACTTTATAAAAGCAATGAAGTTCTCTGGACAGTTTCTGGTTCTGTCTGCTTCCAGACAGAACCGCCCCAGGTGGATCAGGGTAGGCTGAGGGGTGGTAATGTACAAGAAGAGCTGTCAGGTGCACAGTTTTTTTGCAAACCATCATCCATTTCCTTCTTTCTTTCCCARAATGTAGCATTTTGAGAGGAAGAGAAGGGAATTTCCTGTTTAGGTTTCAAGAAGTTCTTTGTTCATTTCAGAAAAAAAAAAAAAAAAGTTATTAAAGAAGCACCTATATTCTTACCTGCAAATCAACCACTATCTCTTAGTGTCCTTCTGTAAAGGCTATGCCAATATTCCTGTCTATCTGCAGGGAGAGGGCCCTATTTACAAATGTCATCCGGGGCTCCAGCTTGGGAAGGGAGGAAGAAAAAAGTCTATCTTGATTCTCGAGAACTTCTCTTATTTTTTTTCCCAGTGGTAGAGAGTTTTTAATGGGAAGGCAATTTCATTCCTTGCCTAGTAGGCTCACCAATCATTTTAAAATAGAGCCCCAGAGGAATAAGGCCTTTAAAAGCTCCATTTGCTCCCAGTCATTTTACACGGTAACCCAAGATGAAGTGAAAGATCTTTATTTAAATATGAATTAAGCTCCAACCTTACCCTTTACGGCATTATTTTCCTTTGAGGTTTACTTTGATATTATTTCAAAGTCTTGAAGCTAACAAAATGCTGGCCAATATTTAAAGTGACAGGAGACTTCTGGAAAAAGATTTAGGAGGCAACTAAAGTCTTTCAGTGCAAGGCTCTGAAACAAGACAGGAAATCATAAAAAGGCTGAGTGCACTTTACCATACTCAAAACAAATTCTGAGACTACAAAGGCAAGCAGAATGGYATCAAAACCACAAAAAGCATCAAGATACAGCTGAAAAACCTACATCAGTCTGAATTATTGAATTGAAACATGGATGAAATTCTGTCAATGTATGGTATTTTCCTCTCAGGGAAGTTAGGATACCATTGTTATGGTTATTKGTTTCTTGCTAAGAGTGGGATAAATGGTTAAAGATGAGACAAYGTAAATCTGTGACTTTTGATGTGCTGTGAATATGTGAGCAATGAAGGAATGGGTGGTGGAACAGAGCCTTCTGCCATGCTCAGTCTTCCCTTTTGCCTTGCACGCCTTCCAGCAGACCTGAGGCAGCTCTGGAGGTGGTTTCATCTGGCTGAAAACAACAGAGGATGTCCCCAAGGGAAGGRCCTGTTCCTCCAACCTGCTTTGTATGTTGGCCAGTTAGGTGGGGCCTGATTTGATGTCCCAAGGAAGCACAGAGGAGGCTTGCCTGGAGTGATGGATGTGGCTTTTGGTGCCCTGAATTGCAGAGATTTGGAGTCTCTGTTACGGCCCTTCACCCAGAGAGCACTTTACGGACAGAGCAAATGCTTTAATCCACCACGACATGTCCTTAAATTCACGGCTTCAGAGCACTGAGATGACCTGCCATAGCATTGAGGGAGGCACACGATAGCTAAAGTGATGTGAGGTGGCTCCGCTGCAACCATTGCAGAGGCAGCTAAACACAAGTACTTTGTAGCTTGGGCAGGTCTGACCATCTCCTCCTGCTTCTGGGAAAGTCCTGGGGGAGCAAGTTAGCATGATGGGCTCCTCTGAAATGCCACTAATGCAGCCAAAGCTGGRTGTAGGTTTCCATGTTTGGAAAATTTCATTCCTTGTGCAGTCTGGAGCTTCATTAAAGGTTCACAAAAATGCAGAATCTACAGAAGCTGTATGTCCCCTACCCTCTCCCCCCAGGAAAATAGTTCTGTTCACTGTGATTCTGCATGACATATATTAAATTCACCTTCCCCAATGGTATTTTTGGCTCTGCTGGAGCCAAATAAAGGCTCCTAATGGAGCTGATCTATTTTACCCTTTGCAACATTTGGCTTTTGAGTTCTGAATCCTATCACACAATTAATGCATTTAATATGCACATGTACGGTCTCAGTTTGGCATGTTAAAATGCTTTTCCTCTGATGCTGGTTTCAATGTTGTGATACAATTTATTTTCTGATGGCTTCAGACCCCCCAGTGTTGCTTGCTTTCCCACCGCTGATCACTCTTCACCATCTTCCCGCCCTCCCATTCCTCATTCCTGCCAATTTCTGAGCGGATCTTTCTCCCAAAGATCTGGTTTGTCTCTCGCTTTGCAAAGTGGAATYGATAATTCCTGCAGGGGACAGGGAGGCTCCCAAACTGCCCTCGCGAGGGGCCAGCTGTTTAATCAATCTCTCTCTGTCACCCCCGTGTTTCAACCCAGATGCTCTCCAGTTAACTGGGGCTGCTGTTAATCCGGCAGGGAAGGAGTGTGAGAACAAAAGGTCATTTAGGATAATTTATCCCCATGTTTCCAGATCCACAACGATTGTTCTTTAAAGGACTTTTTTTTCTTTTTCAGAATGATTTCTTTTTAAGCACATTATTTATGACCTGGAAATTGAAACCTGGCTTCAGCATGTGTATTACCGACAGTCCGAAGAGCCTCTGCAAGGCGCTGGAGGAAGGTCAGCGAGCGGGAGAGGAGCCCACAGTGTTTGTTACCAGGGTGCAAGGTGAGTGGGAAGGAAGAGCAGAGCAGCAAATCTGTTTTCTCTTATATCTGCTGTCTGATTCCTTGTGGATCCGTGTGCACTGAGGAACATGGCTTTCTGCTTAGCTAAAACCCTCTGCTTTTGGCATAGGGCAGCAGTGCTGCAGAATGGCAAATGTTGCCCCCAGCACTCCCTCATCACTCATTAGCAGTGATGCAAGTCAAGGAACCAATTACTCCCACCTCACCCTAGACCGTGGTTGAAAATGGGCTGAGGCCTGAGCACAGAAAATGATGCTGATCTGATCTAATATGCTTTAGATATGCACCATGCTGCTATGCACCATTCCCTACCTGGGAAGTTGATTTTGGTCAACTCAGTGAGTGCTTAAACGTTGGCAGGGCGTATGGAAGTCGCTTTGCTCCGCGGCTTCTGCTCCGAGCTTTGCAGTCAGAATGTAAATCAAATAACCCCCAGTAGCTGCATGACATCTTTATTTTTATTGGCAAGAGAAGCAGTATACACAGCGACATTGCAGTCTCTTAGCTCGTTAAAAATATCTCAATAAATAAAACAAATAAGCAACATATACACTGGAATAGGAAAAAAAAAAAAAAAAGAAAAAGGGGGAGTTAGCGGTAGCAAGTCATGGAGCAATAAGGAAGAGGAAGAGTGTGGAGGGTAGTCTGTAATCCAGGCTTTACTTGAAACAAATCATGCAGGGAGCTGGGGACACCATGGGTTTTTCCTTTGCCTTTTTTTTTTTCTTTTTTTTTTTTTTTCTCTCTGAGAGCCTTGGTCCAGTTTTGACATTACTGTACAGGAAATCAGGTTTTTAATGTTAAAAAAAAAATAGGAAAAAAAAAAGTATACAGCTAAGGAAAAGTAAAATCCGAACCCAAAGATTTCTCTTAAATGTATTCCTGAATTAAGATTTTTCAGAAAAAGAAATAGAAATAAAACCAAACACATGGACAAAAACACACGCAACAACAACGAAGACCAGGAATGTTGCTTCTCTTTTCTCTTTGGTCAGTCACTTGGGGAGAGATGTTGCAAAGTTTCAGACCGTTAGCGTCGGTGCTGCTTTTCTGCTCAGTCTGAGTGCTCTGCAGGAGTTCAGAGCTCGGGAGGTCAAGAGGGGTCTTTTGGACCAGTTTACTTGAGGTTGTTAAGGTTTCAGAAGCTACAAGCTTGGATACATCCCAATTCCACTTCAGTCTCAGACACTGGACAGTCTGGAGGAAAACAAAGGAAAAGAAAAGAAAAATAAATATAGTGGACATCTTTCTGAGCGGCCTTTTCTCATAAGCGCCTTTCCTGTACAGATTGAGGCCACGGTTTGGGAAAGCCCATGCCTGAGTGCTAAAACCTGCCCCTGGTCACAGCACTGTGTAGGCACAGGGTAAAAATCAGGTCTCCCTTTTGATGAATGTGCAAAAGCGCAGTTATTCTCTCGCCCCTGTAAGTGCTAGACCTCCGCGTGTGCCTTCTCTGCCATTTCTAAAGCAAAGCTTTTTTGGTGCCAAAGCCGTGCTTTTCGGCACTGCCTCGGTGTGGAGCTGAAGGCCTGTTGTGCCATCCTCATTCCCTGGCAGCCAGGGAAGCCCTAAAGCAGCAGAAACAGCCCACGTGGCCTCCTTAGCAGCTAAAATGGGAAGATGGGCTGTTGGGTCCTAGCGGCGCTGCCAGCTCTGCGCTGCGCTTAGCACGGAGCTCCCACCGACTCCCGTGGAGCCCAGTGAGGTGTCCAAGAGGCAGTGCAGGAAATCCCACCCACAGCRGCTCTCGGCCCATCCTGCAAAATCAGGCAAACCCCACAGGAAATGAATATGTTTTCTTTCCATCCTGGGGTAACACTAAGCACGTCCAAAAAAAAAGAAAACCCACCAAAACATAACCTAAACAATTGCTTTCAAGCTCTGTATGTGTAGCCGCATCTGTCAAAAAGTCCATGTGCTTCCAGCTGCCTCTTTGACCCCCCTGAGTTCTGCTAACTCCCTGTTTTCCATATAGCTTCTTGCAGCCCACTCCTCTCCAACTCYGCTCTGCTCACTGGGATGTGACAAGACTCAGGCTACACAACTGGGAGCCTTTATATTTGCAAGGCTTGCTCCGATCGTCTGCAGCAACCTGCTGCTGCTCCTTTGTGGGCTGGTGGGACCTTTGCAACCCAGCAGCACCCATGGGATGTCCCAGCTAGCTTGGGGGTGGGATGGCTTTTCATGCAAGATGCCGTTTCTGCCCTCAGAAAACCAGCTCAGCTCATATATCAAAAAGGAGATATAATTATTTCCTCCCACTAAGGAAAGCTTCCATTTAGCTTATTTCCTTTCGTTTCCTTCTCGAAGTTATTAATTATCTAATTACAACCACATTCTGCAGACGAGTTCAGGGCTTGACAGGCTGCCCAGGACCACTTAGGAAAGCTTAAATGCTCTCTGTGTGTGAGCAGCACTGGTTGTGCATACGCACGCCCGATGGGCGACTGGCCCTTTCTTAATGCTCACACTGCTGCAGCTCTAGGAGAGGCATTCAGGAAAGACAACAGTCAGAGGAAGATACCAGGAAAAGATTTTTTTGCTTCAGTAGTTCTTAAGGGATTAAACAATCCTCCCCAACAAGAAGGAGGAGGAGAAGGTGCTCCCCATCAACTGCACAACAAACTGCTGTGTCCTGATCTTTTCTGAATCTGTCTGCCTTATCAAACAAGCTGAAATTGGATAAAAACTGCCCTAAGAGTTAGCTGACCTATTTCTCCTAATTTTTTTAAAGCCCCATCCAAGACTTGCTTGGGACAAGGCTGCTCTTAGCGCAAAGCTGGCAGTTTGCAAATTGTAGTCTTTAACCTCGAGTAAGACACCTGAGTCTGGCCCACTACTCTAATGCTGGCATCTGGTTCTCACTGCTCCTTTCTGTTCCCGAGCAGTTCTCTTGGCTCTGGCCAAGTGGAAAAATGGGAATTTCACAGTAGCTCAGTGCTAAAAGGGAATTTTGGCCTCCCCCTTACAGTGAGATGAATGAGCATGGTGTACCTGGCAAGAGCATTACTGCTAGGCCCCTGGGCACTGGCTTGGCTCTCCTAGGTCTCCTCCTATAATTCAAGTTTTCAATCCAGCCCTGCCAGGGGCAAAARCGTGGGCAGATGTGCCTGTTCTTTAGTCTCCTCTTGGATAACGTCTAGTGATCAGCCCTTGYTGTTGCCTCCCTGCTGTCTTGGGCCGAGGGAGCCCTCTTCACACCAAGAYGGCGCTGCTGGCCTGCTGGTCCCTGCTGCACCGCGACCGCAGGGCAAGTCATCACAAATTGGAGCCAGCACTGAACTCTGCCAAAAACGAAGGCTGATCAGTTCTGTTGAGACAAACTGCCAAGCTGCTGCTAACTGTGTAGATTAATTTTTTTAATTGTCCTCTTGGACCTCTCAGAATTGTCACAATTCCTTGTGAAAATGACCTTGCATTCTTATGAAGCTGACTGGTGCACTCATTGTGGGTGAAACTGTGGGGAAAGAAAAACTGTTTGGAGGAAAAAAAAAGTACATAGTAATAATAAAAAGCCATTTCTCCACTGGAAGTCATTTCCACCCTCACAGTAAGTAATCAGAACTGTTGTCCCTAGGAGCACCCSGTCTGCATTGATTAACTCAAAACAGATATGATGCAATCAAATACTCCTGGGGAGTAAATGATAAGAGTCCTCAGGCAATATGCCTCTCGGGGAAAGATTCTTTTTATATATATATTTTTCTTCTGGTGATATGCAGTTAATAAATTAGACCAAGCAACATTATCTTCTGCTCCTTTTATAGTGTGGAATCATTAAGATCCTCTGGAAATTACTTAAAATAGCCCAAAAGCCACTCGCTTTTGGTGCAGCTGATCTACATGCCATCTTGTGCAGCAGTGCTTAGACAGGACTCAATCATAATTGCACAAAAAATAAGCTAAATGTTCCTTTATTACTTTTGCTCTCCTCTATCTTTTGCTCTGTGTGAAAGTATGGTTTGGATTTGGGGTTTGGTGTGTACGTTTGTGAATCATATCCTGAAGTCACAACTGAGAACAGCGAAGTACTACCTGTGTTTCTTCTTACATTGGCCTTAAGGATGTTGCATGCTGACCTCTTCTGAGAATCTGATTGTAAGCAGCAATTTTGAAAACACACAAATGGTTAAGAGATGTTGGTGGCATTGGTGGCATCTCCTTGCTGCATGAGGAACACACATTGATGGCAAGAGGTGTGGATTATGATGGCGGACAGAGAAATAACAAGGTGAGTGGTGTCTTCATCCATCTCCCCACCATCCTCATTCTTAGTTACACCCTTTAGATGCCTCAGATAGAGGAGTACAGTGCTAGAAACCTTTGCTGATCCCATATGGAGCTTAGTAAGGTGAGAGGACTTTAGTGTCTTCTCAGTTTGCTTCATAGATAGCTATGTATGTTGGAGAAATTGTGCTCTGAATATGACTTGTGATTCTCACAAACCTGGTCCTTGATATTGTGTGGGCTTGCTCGCAAGACTCGGTTTTTGAGTCTTGTAGGAGGAGGATTAACTCAGATGAGGGGGAGAGATGCTGCCCTGAGAATATGGTCTTTAATCCACTTTGCCTATTGCCAGCACCACTGCAAATTCTTCCCAGTGGCTGCTTCCTCCTGCCCTGTCTTTCTGAAGAGGCCAACTCAAGGCAGAGGAGCTGGGCACTTGTACCTACAGCAATGGGGGCCATGCCCAGAAGTAGGGAGTGAAGCCAAACTCAACGTGTCTCAACAAACCCAGTGCCTTGCACGCAGACCTGTTGGCTCTAATCTCCCAACTCCCTGTACAGCAAGGGGACAAGCACTGCTCTGTTGATCTCAGAAGTTATAAAAAGGAATCAACTGGGTCCTTCTGGCTTCATGCACTGTTAAATTATAGAGAGCTTTTCTGTACTATTTTCATGCTCTGATGGACCCTCCCAAGGTCATGCTTGATGTTTATGATCCTTTAATCCCAGAGGAGCTCAGCAAGGCGTTCTTCAAAGCCTGCTAATATATTCAGCTGGCAGCTACTCCTGAGGCACTTCTCAGCTCTGCTCCTGTGAGCTGGACCCAAACAAGTTTCGTAACGAAATCCTGCAGGCCTGGCTCAGTTGTGGCTCTGCTGTGGGTTTTCTATGACAGCTAAGTGACTAGGAATGGATTTATGGGCAGCTTTCTTAAGAAAGTACAGCACAGCCCATAGCAGATTTCACTGTGGGGAGAGGGACGATAGCTGGGGGGCGGCCTGCTTGCATGGCAGGAAGCCTGCCTGAAGTCAGGGGTGAGGGACAGCTCTGCAAGGCTGTAAACACAGTTGCCTATGACTGCTGTGTCCTCCATGTAGGTACGACTGCTATGTGCTCCAAATTATAATATTCTCTGATATGCTGAGCGAAAAGCCTCCCACAAATGGAGTACCTTTGGTCTCCAAGCCCTTTCTCTTCCAAGTTGACCGGCTGGGATGGAGCTGATAACTCATTATTAGTCCCAGTTCACGTACAGGTTTGGTGTTTTTTTTTTTTTTTTTTTTTTTTTTTNTTTTTTTTTTTTTTTTTTTTTTTTTTTTTTTTTTTTTTTCTGTTTTTTTTTTCTGTTTTCTGTGGTGGCACAGACCCATGTGTAGTAAATTGAGAGCCTGCCACTCTTCATTTTTTTGCTTTGGTCCCCAAACCTGGCGAACAGCATGGAAATCACGGCAACTGAGAGCAGGAGACTTGATGTAAAGCGGCAGCAACAGCGGGGACCCGATCACAGGAAATTTTGCAACAGGTCCCTGAGGTTCTCACTTATACAGGATTAGGTCTGGGTTTGGTTACACAGGGGTTTAAATCATTTCCATAACATGGTCAAGAGTGCAAGAGGAATAAGAAAGAAAAAAAAACTCTCTCTTTTTTTTTTTTTTTTTCAGTTAGTTAGGGGATGTCAAAAATACTTATTCCTTATTTCTGGTAGAAAAGCCTGTCATGCTTGATTTGTGGTGAGCAGCTTCTTTTTCAGGGAGATTGCTTCCAGCAATCCAGTGGGTAGCGGGCAGGGTACAGGGAGGATCCYGCTGCCTGAAATGTCATCCCAGCAGAGCTGAGGTGCCTAAGGCCGGTTTTATGAATTGCAGCAGTCCCCATCTGGCAGCTGCCTCCCTGGAACGGTGCCCAAGCTCCAGCATCCACCCAAGTGCTGGCACCTCCCTCAGGGGCTCCTGGCAGCCCAAGGGAAGGTCC